GCACAACTGAGGCCATGCCTGGGATGGAATGCAGGGGAAGAGGAGGGCAGGATAGTAAGCGAGAAGAAATACAGACAGCGGGGGCACAGGGGAGTGCTGCCTGCTGCATGAAGATCTCGTGTTTGTTCAAAGAAAAGAGAAAACAAGGTTGCAGTGATGGATGATTTGGAGGGTATAAGATTCAGGGACGAGAATGTGACACTATTGAAAACATTTTCAATGCCTTGGAGAAGGCAGTGTTGCCCCTTTAGATGAGCAGCAGCAGAGATACAGGTTTAGAATTTTGGGTGGTATTGTGTGGAGCCAGGAGTTGGACTCCATGATCTTTGAGGGTCCCTTCTAACTTGAGATATGCTATGGTTTTGTGATATTCTATGATTCTGTGATGAGAGACCTGACTCCTTTAAGTTTCATGCATTGCAGGGAAGAGATGAGTGAGATGAGTGTACAGCAAATAAGATGCAGCAGGAAAAAACATGGTGCAGCTAGGCACGATGAACCTAACTCTCCTTATGAACAAGAAGCTGGGGAGTGCAAAATGACTTTCTGACCCTTCTTGCAGCTGCTATAACTGAAATGCACTGGAGCAGACAAATTTTGCTCTGAAGGCTGATTTCCTGCTGCTTCTTGGAGAGCAGCAACCTCTGGTGTGTCACCTTACATCCCACACTGACCAGCTGGCTGCAAGAGGCAAGTGCGGGAGCAAGAGGGTCTGGTACCATCATTGCCACTGCAGGGACTCTGGTGAACCATCTCCTGACCTGGGCTTGGGCGAGTCACAAGGTGAGATTCTCACCTGCTCATGCTTGTCATGGCAGTCACAGTCTGGCTGCACCCAGCAGGGAAATCACGCCAGGTGCTGGACCCATAGCCTGCAAAGCAGCAAACATTGACAGAAGCCAGCCCCTCTGTGAGCATCCATCAGAAGGCTGATAACAGGCGGTAACCATTTCTGAGGAAGGCAGCAAACTGTACAGCAGCTGTGGTTGGCACTGCAGTGAGCTCAGCCCAGAGCCAGCCAGGAGACAAAGAGGGCATGAAGGCAGTAAGGGCAGAAAGGGGTGTTCAACGTTGTTTTGCCCACCAGTAGCTCCTCTCAGCAACCAGCACTGGCCCAAGAGGTGCCTATGAAGGCTCCAGGATGATTTCTATCTTTCTCAGAAGATGCGCTGCTTGCTGATGGCTTGCTTGAGGGCCAAAACAGACAGAAAAGTGAGTCATTTGCTTTTATAATGTAAAATAAAAAACAAAACATGTTGCAAATTTCTTCCGCTGCAGGAATCCTGGCACTAGGCTTGCTATCAGGCTGTGGGAGCACTGCTGTCCAGCCCAGGGAGCAGAGCTCACCCCTGCAGGATGCAGGAGGAGCAGACATTGCTGGATGTTAAAAAGCTTCCCTAATAAGCAGTGTGCTGCTCGGGCCCCAGCAAGCTCTTCTTCTAGAAATGCATCAAAATGGTTTGCAGCAAAATACATGTGGATGTTTTGGTGTACTGGTTTTCATGGGCAGGGGAAAGAGTAGTGACATGGGTGAAGGCGTGAGCTGAGCCAAAGAGAGCTGCTTGAGAAGGATATCACAGGTCTGTGCACAGCATTCTGCAGAGAAATGGCTCCTGATGGCAGCCTGTGGTGAAAGTCACTGCTGGCTTCTTTACTACATTGCTTAATTGGACACACCTTCAGCTTTAGGGAATAAGCATTTCCTGTGATGCTATTTTGGTGTGAAATTTACTCTACCAGCAGTCTCTTTGAAGTGGGGTTATGATGAAGCACTGATCTTATTAGCTAATTGTGCTTGCTAGTCAATGGTTATCTATTTCACAGCCAAATTACAATGGTTGGCCAACAGGCTCTGCAGTCAGAGTGCTTTCAGTTCCCCCTGGATTTCAATATTGTGACTGCAAAGGAAGGAACAGAATAGCCAATGAAACTGTTACTGTTTAGGCTCTTGATGCTGCCTATGCCTTGTAGTGAGCTGTGGCCTTAGGCTGCAAGTTGGCAGGGCTCATCTGGAAGCAGTCATTGAAGCATTTTAATATGAAAAATTAACCCTTTGGCTCAAGAGCAGCCACATTTTTCTGGTCTAATATGTATCCACTAAATAATCTGCACAAGCACCATACGCAAAGTATACAGACACGACATGCTCAGCACCACTCGCCTGCTGTGCTGCTGCTATTACAGCATAATGGTGTTTGTCCTGGCTTGATATGGTGCCTTTTTCCTTCTCAGACCCCCTAACAGTGTCTCCCTCGGTAGACGAAGCAAGGACAGCTTTGATCTTTTGCAGAAGTAAGATGCTAAAGGACAGCTTCTCCAGCAGCCCCTTCTGCTGCAAATCCAATGATCCCAGACCATAGAGGCTTGTCTGTCTTCTAGCAGTTTTCCCATATAGCTCTATGCAAATGCCTAATTCTAGCCAAAGATGACCTAATTCTTTTTAATTGCCAGCAGAAGCTTTGTTATTCCAGGGAAGCCGTAATTGGTAGATGCAAACACAAATGCAAACACACTGCAAAGAAATGTGCTGCTTCTCATGCACTTCTGGGAAGCCTGGGTCTGTTAGTAGCTTTGTTTGTTTGTGGGCTTTGAGAAAATGATGCTTTGATAAAGTCGTTGAGCTTCAACACAGCCAAGTGAGAACCCCAAAGCAGCACAGCCCCTTCCGAGGCTTCCTGCCCTTGTGCTGTTTCACAGAGGATGGATCTAACACCTGCCTGTTCGAATCAACCTCTGGCCTTCCTTTCCTGCAGGCTGCAGGACTGTGCTCACAGGAACAGGGCAATCCTCTGCAGCCCTCCTATCAGGCATTATGAAGCAGGCAGCAAACTCCTGCCTGGAAACCCCTTTCCTTTCTCTAGAAATGTTCCAGCATTTGATATGGTTTGCACTCACCTTCTTGACATCCCCATCAGCTAGACGGCAAGCACAGGGACTGTGGGCAGTGGGCTCCAGCTCCAGAGCAGGTGGTGCTGAGCAGCCATGGGAAGCCATATCACAGAGCTCCCCCCCGGAGCAGAGAGGAAGGACGTGGCAGGCCCTGCCACACCACCCTGCTCCAACCAACACCGCCAATACCTGCTCAGTGTTCTTTGCTCAGGGCTTGCGCTCCTCCAGGGCTTTGTGTTTAGAACCAGAAGACAGCTAAGAGCTGTCAGAAAAGTAATTAAAATCACGTGACATCTCGCTGCTTCTGGAACTGTGGAAGAGTCACATTCTGTTTTTCTTTTTTCCCCCAGCAGGTCAGAGGGTTCAGGTTTGTTTTTTCTTCTTCAAAGCGTCAAACACCCGCTCACCCATTTATTTATCTCTCACTTGATTACTGCCAGCTCGGGTGGCCAAACAAAACAATTCAGAGCTTCTGCCATCGGCTTTGCTTCTACCTTTGACTCCTTTAACAAGGATCTCACAATGTCTGCCCTCGCAGCGCATTTTCTTACACGTTGATAAATGAGGAATGAGAGGCAGGTGCAGAGTATGACAGTAGGTGTCAGAAGAACAGTTTCTGTAGGTGCTCTGTGTACAGTGCAAGCTTCATCCACTTCACACACCCATAACTTAATTGGGTGTGTGAATAATAATTAGAAATTCTAAATAATCTCTCCCTAGGCACTAGCTAATCTTCATTAAACATCTGAATACCAGCGACTAAAACTGGGTCAGCTCCTTGGTGGTGCCCCCTGTGGGAGGAAGGAGCTGTGGCTTGAGGGGAAGAACTGCTGGGAGAATTTAGTCTGTGACACGCTGAAGGTCGCAGCCCCACAGAAGGCCAAGCCTCCTCTGCTTGGCTGATCAGCATCCACTGTGCCCCTCCTGCTCCAGGCAACCAAACCCACCTAGCCAAGCTACGCAGCCTCATCCTTTAAAAAGATACAAAAAAGGTGTTCTCAGCCAAGGGGGCACACCTTCAGGGAAACTGCCTGTGTACAGAGGGCTGTTCGGCCCTTTCCATCCCAACTACATTCATTCACTGAGTTGCCACAATGGCAGAGCTGGAAGCAGCTCCCAGGTGAATTAAACCATGTTATTCTAATGCAGTGCTGATGTGGTTTGCAGTAAATAATTATACAAGCAGAAAACATTGTTCAGCTTGCCATATTAGTTTATTAAAAAAAACTGGCAGCCAGAAAGCAGAAACTAAGTGTGCCCATTGGAAGAAGAGGAGGATTAACGTGCATTTGCACACACCCCCTGCTAATAAGATTATAGGTGTTGTTCTGAATTGCTTCTGCTTACCGCCCATCTGTAGCTTCCTGAGCTCTTCAGAACATCTCTGCAGAACAGAGACCCTCTATTCCCTCTAGCGTGGGGAACATGTACAAAACATTTCATAAAGAGGAGCTGGCTCCAAATAAGTCGGGGCAGCACTGGGATGAAAAGTTTGCACAGCTGTCACAATACAGAACAGGACTTCCTTCACCTTTCCCTACTTTGAATTCCCCCAGAATTATCTCTGTTGGGCAAAGCACATTAGCAAGTCAGGTGCAGGTAGCCTTAGCAGCCCTGACAGGGCTGTCTCCTGGCCGTGAGCAAAAGACTCTGCATGTGCACAATGGAAAGTGAAGGCTGATCAACCTGCTCAGTGTGGGTCTGACCTTTTAGGAGCTTGCATTCTGGAGAGGCCAAGGAACCTGGCCATGGGGGAGACTTCATCTGCATATACAGCATAAAGTTAATGAGGCATTTTCATACCCCCAAGAAAGAAGCTGAGGAGCTTTTGAGAAGAAAGACAAACAAAAGTGGGCCCCACTGAGCCCACCCAGCCCAGCAAAGCACTTGTATAGCATGGATTTTCTTGGCACCAGGACAAGTGAGGGAGACAAAAAGCCAGGCTCAGCACTGCTGCAGCTTCCCATCTAGAGGGCAGGCTGGCACAGAGCACAAAAGCCAAGACACAGACCTGGGTGGACTCTGCTTGCTTTCAGTGCTGTCAAACAGCATTTCTATGAGGAAAGGTGGCTGCTAGCACTCCACAGAAACAGAAAGACTTTCTTATTTAACCAAAAAACAAACTTTATTTTGATACATTAAAAAATCTATACATTTCTTAGACTAAAATACAGTTTTGCATCAGTATTCTGGCACAATGTCAGTTTACACAGAAAATCTAAGATTAGATCAGCACTGTTATATTTCCCTTCTCTTCCTGCATTCACAGCTTGCAGTATAAGACATTTCTAGTTCTCAGACAACAATAAACAGTCTCACATTTATTTTTCCCATTCCAAAAGGAGGTGGCATTCCACTGGAAAAATGAAGCAGTTGTTAATTTATTTTAGTTGAATGTACATTATTCAACCAGTTCAGGGGTTTAACTTCCCTGTTAGAACTGTGAGTGAAAGAGGATGAAAAACTCTTTTTTTACATGAAGCTTTGATGGGCTATGACAACACAAGAATTTTTTTGAGTACTGTCAAGCCTTTAACATTTGTTTGGAAGATTTTCCTTTTTCCTTATCACAGTTACTGTAACCAGCAACACAATCCAAAGTATAAAAATAATTCCTTTCCGTAAGATTACACCTTTCTTGCTCTGAAGAGCAAAATAAAAGCAGGGCACAGGGGACATGGCTGTGAGATGTCTGTGAAATGGAACATGAATTTTCTTTACTATGAAGATTCTGTGAACTATTTTCTACCTGTGAAACTCTGCTCTCCATGGCTCCACTGGCCTCTGGCATTTGCTCCCTGGCCCATATTAGCAACAAAACAAACTTTTGTTGTGTTCTTCCTCCTCTCCCCCTCCAGACAGATGATCCCACAGCTGCTTTGTTTTTCTAAGGAGATACTCTTCAGTTTGAGCAGGGATGGATCTATCCAGTACCAACACCGGAGCACATACAGTAATTATTTTTAAGTTAAAAATCATGAGTTTCACAGGGACTCCAGTCAGTGCTCAGCTTTCGCTGGATTTCAGGAGTCTTCAGCTTCACAATCACACTCCTTTCTGAAGTAGTCATTACCTGCCCATATTTCAATCAAGCAAGAGGGGAGAGATGGCACACTTGAGGAGTGGCAGCCACCACTGCTACTAAAATACTTCAGAGATGCCAGAGGTGTCTCTGAAACTTCAGACATTTGGCTAATTCTGCAGTTACCTATTACTTCAGCTCAAAATTCTTGCAAGTTTGACTCTGGAGGGAGCCCTACAATTTTCCAGATAATTACCAAATGCTTAAAATACCAAATTGTGCTCAGTATATTCATATATCATGTGATGGCTTCAGTGAGACAAGGGAGTAGAATGTGACGAAGTTTCTTAGTTTTCTATAGTTCTGGTTTAGCTGATTTCTCTCAAATGAATGCCAAGTATTTTAGCCTCCCAATGGATATTTTAGATGGATTCGTGCTACCTATTATCCCTGGAAATATTCTCATAATCCTAATGTCCCTAAAGAGCTTTGGCTTGGTTGCATCAGCTTGCAAACACTGCAAGATACCTCACAGTTCCATCCCAGACCAGAAATTCTGCCTTCTGTGTATGACCCACATCACAAGAGATAAAACTCATCTCTTCTCTCATCTCTCTAAATATATTTAAAAAAAAATCTTGAGAACAGTATTTGCTACAGAGCACAAGAAATATAAAGTTACTAATCTCCATTATCTCTCTCGTAATGTGATGGAAATAACAGCAGAGGTGAAACAGTTGGAAGAGCACTGAAAAAATTTAATATTTGGAGTAAACTTCCATTGTCCCAACAAAAAGCTGAGCACAAGAAATGCTTCATGTAAGTCTGTTGGGTTTTGTTCCATGAAACAGTATTTTTTTCCATGGAGGGGAAGGAGTTTCCTCCTTTGGGAAGGAGCTATGTTTTTTCACAAAGATGAAACAGAACTTCAGTAGTGATAACGTGACACACAAGCTGTTCAAGAAACAATGGGCTTGAGATGTTCAGATTTAGTAAACAGTATCTGCACAGGCAAAGCCATGATTTACAAAACTGGGATGTGCACCATTAGGTATCTACTTTTAAACTCTAACGTTTCTTAAAATGACTGTGCCATGTTCAATACATGATGTAATATGCATTCAGAACCAAATGATCACTGGATGGTGATGATGAGTATATGTCTGCTACATGCATTTATTCTGACTCTGTAACATACATTCATAGAATACATCATAACTACTCAGAGCAAACCACTAAAGTGCAGGCCCTGAGGGCACATTAAATATGTTGTCTTCAGCGCTGGCTGCTCAGTTGCCAGGACGCTATACAGACAGGGCTCATTTCTGCTTTACATCCCCATTTTGTGCTGAAAGAGTAAGAGTCAGCATACCCTGCTCCCTCCCTAATGGGAGCACTGTGGAGCAGACTCATTGCCTACTCTGAAAAAAGCCCTTTCAGAAAGAAGTAACCACCCTGAGAAGGTGCTGTACAGAAATGTGGGAAGTGAGTCTTGGGTTAACAGTTAGGTAAGTGGACCTGGGGGCTGCATTTGGCTGGAACAGAGATAATTTTCTTTACAGGAGCCCATATGGTACTGTGTTTAGATCTGTGATCAGAGCAGCGTTGGTAGCACACAGTGTACAAACCCACTGCTGAGCGGTGCTCCCATAGGGTCATGGCCTTCTCTGTCTCTCCCTTCCTGCAGAGAAGGCTGGGGGTGGGCAAGGGCTAAGAAGGGACACAGCTGGGAAAGCTGGCCCAAACCACACAAAAAATACTCTGTGCCATGGAATATCACACTCAGAAAACAAAACAAAACAAAACAAAAAAACAGGGGGAGGGAGAGAGTCTTCCAAAGTAGCCATTATTCAGAGATTGACTGGGCATCAGTCTGCTGGCGGGACGTGGTGAGTGATTGCCTTTGCAACACTTGGTTGATGTTGTTTTTTTTTCCCCTTGATTTTTTCCCATTATTTAATGAACTGTCTTTACCACAACCCACATTCTGATTCTTCCCCCAGTCCTCCTGGAAAGGAAGGCACAAAGGGACTAGGGCTTACCTGGCAGGCAGGGTAAACCCCATGACAGTATGTACTTGGTTTTCCACTTGATGTTGTCCATTCTAGGACATGCTTCCTTACACTGAACATCCTTGGCTTACCACACCAAGCTAAGGCCACACGTAAAACCCAATCTTGTTTTTGGCAGGTGGGAGTACAGACAAAAGCTCATGGAAGGCTGAAGATGCAGTTCTAAATTGGCCATACCACGTGCTGAGCTTAGCTGCAGAGCAGCACTGGAATTGTGGAAGTAATGCATTTCACTCCTAATCACAGCAAGCACAGTGATGGAGTGGTACTACAAACACACACAAAAAAACATCTCAGAATTTCAGCTCTGCACCTACTCCCCCTCCCATTCAGTCCAGGTGATATCATTGCCTTGGGAAGGTGAGAAGGCATGGGCTAAGTTCAGTGGGACAGGGGGAGCTGACACTCAGCCGCTTGGTACTCCTTCACTGAAAGAGCAATACAGAAACAAGAGCTAAAAGAACAAAGATTCTTTAAGGTTGAAAGAATCACAGGGGTTGGAAAGGACCTTATCTAGTTCAAACCTCTGCCAAAGCAACAATAATACATTGCTCAGCCTCCAAATAAGATGGAGGATAACAAAATAAAAAGAATTAAACAATTAAAAGAACAGCAAGCTTTTTACCTTTGGAGCCTAGCTGATTAGATGCTATGTGCCAGACTGTCTGCAGAAACCAAGTGCTGGGAACCAGTAACTATACTGGCTCAAATCACCAGTCCTCACGCACTGCTTGGTTCAGCGGGCTTTCCAAGGAGATTATTTCTGTATCTCCTCCTCCTGCAGTGTTATTCCCAGTGCAGAACAGTCTAAGTGGTGCAGACTGCTTCCCACAAAGCAGTCCATATACTGATGCCAAAAAGAGTATTTAATCCATCTCAATTGGAAGTCCCTAGCACCTTTACTCCAACTACGGATTTACAGTTCAAGTGCTCTCCACTACTCCCATTAAGGGAGGAAAGCAGAGTTTAGGCTTGTCCTGAAAAGTTTTTTTAGACTCCAATCTTCTACTTATCTCCTTGCACAAGACCACACTGGAAGAGGATAGCTTGCAATCTGGTTGCAATTCACCTCAAAGAACATTCAAAAGCTTTGAAGGGCCACTGGAAAGCCTGCATGTTGATGGAATGCAGTTCGGCATGACTGAAAAGCTCAGCATGCCAGATACACAAGAATGGTACATATGATTTTATTAAGAACTCTGTAATGATATAGGTTTGTCACTTAAACTTTACAGCTACCATAGAAAAGTGTTGCCTGTATCTCTTAAACACCATGTAAATAAATCAAATTTGTTCTTAAAACAGGATAAACTGCTATAAAAATGGTGCACAGTCAAGTCATACAAAAATACAAAATTTGTTTCCAATTGCAGTTCTAGTTGCGATTGCAGAGAAAAGCTCCCACTTCCAGTGAGCAGAGAGCACAAACTTGCAGAACTTGTCACGGCAGATATTTGTTGTCAAAATGAGCAGAATCCAAGGCTTTGATCAAAGCACCTCCAATAATTTCCAACAAGATGGAAATTACAGTTCTCTGGAAGCAACTGGGTATGTGAGAAGTCTCTTAGCCTTGGAATCCAGTTTCTAGGATTCATATGAGCCAGTTTTTAAATTTCTGTGCTAAACCCCACTGATCTACACAGACAACAGTGTTCAGTGCAACTGAAGCTTTAGCAACAGGTTTAACAGCAGGAATGCTTTCTCTCCACAAGCTTAAGGCTGTTACAGGGCTTCTTCTAAATAGCCTGACTTCTAGCTCACCTTGAGAGGCCTCACCAGACAGTGCTCCAGTCTGAATCCCAGGCTGAAGTTCTAGTTCAGTTAACGTACACACAAATGTATCTTACAATTTCACTACTTTAGACAGCCTCCTGAACTCAGTGGAGCTGATGTGATTTGGTTAAACAAGTGTCTAGTGCTTGCAAGACTGGGTAATTCTGTCTTCCCATCTCCCCAGCAGTTACCACCTCTAAACATATTTTTATTTTCTTTTCATACAGTTTGGTTTCTGTGATATGAAAACGGTAAGTCTTTTTAATTGGCTTACTGAAAGAAAACTAAACAAATGTAAGTATCAAACGACTTCTAGAAGCAAAGGTGAAACATTTCACTATTGCCAAGAGGTAAGAGCACTGATTAGTTACATGACACTCTATTTTTCAAACGCCTGATCCTCTGAAACGAAGCACAGAGAACTGCTTATTCTTTAAACCATAAGTACAACTGAGTTTCTTTGACTAGACATACCTCTCCACTCCATTGCAAAGCTTCCACAGAAGGGCTTTTCTCTTTCAAAAGCTTTTCTTGAATGGAGTGATCAAACCATTGAGGCATTATTTATTTGTACAGAGCTTATATTTAGTGCAATAAGTTTAAAAATTCTGCTCTGAAGTATTAACTTTACATTAACAAAAATAGTTTTCTTAAAAAAATTGTAACAAAAGGACTATATAGCATTGACAGAGCATGAATTCTTAGCAAATACACTTTTAACCATTTACCATAACATTAGGCTGAACAAAATATTAGCATTCATATCTGGTGAACTTCCAGACTGAAAGAAATGCAATTATCTCAGAACCATACTACTGCTGCTTTTTCTTTCTTTCTTTTTTTTTTAAAATAAACAAAACAAAACACGTTCTCTTATCATTATTCGATGACTTCAAATAACTATCCCAGGCAGTTACACTTCCAAATAAATGTATATCTGCCCTTTCCTGTTTTAACCACCTGCTACAGTACATAGAAATATGGGTGAAACAATAGGCAAGGAATGGTCCCTTACACATCCCAAACCTCTCTGACATTAAATGAAATGAACTATAGAGTACTTGTTTGTACAGTATTACAGTTCATTTCTCCTTCCATCCTCAGCATGTTTACATCAAGTCATGAATTAATCATGAGTATGACTAAGACTGAGCTTTAATAATCTGTTCTTTGAATTGCTCATATGGAGAATCTATGTCCCTAAAGGAGCACTGTTGACGTTTGAAGGAGGCTACTGAATTTGGGGCAGGGCAGGGGGGAGGAATTGGTAAGAGGGTAAGTAGGGTAAAACACGAAGTAAATTGCATATAAAAATCATTATTCCCCATTTTCTAGTTTCTGCTGAATAGGAGATGCAAGGGCTCCCACACATGTGAATACCTGAGGAGTTGGTTATTGTGATATCTGATACTGATAAACAAAATGGGGCCCTGCCAGGGCCGTAAAATAAAATGACTGCTTACAAACCAGTTAGAACTGAATTAACTTGCACTAAAACTACCTTTTAAAAAGCTAATTTAATACTGTTCTTGATTTGAATGTTTTGCTTATGTGTAGCTATCCTAGATTTAATGCAAATTTACACAAACTAAACAAAAAGCTCTCAGCAGATTAGCCATGTCATAGGAAATCTGTCTCTAAACCCAATCATCATTAAAATTATCTTTACAATGATTCCTCCTCCAGATTGTGAAATATCAAGCAGATAAGAATCAACATTTCTGTGACTACAATGAATCAATTAAAAAAAATGGAACAATGATAAAGCTGCTTGTAAAAGCCACCCGTATGAAAAGAGTACATGTTTCACAAAAATAATTGTTAAAAAAAGTATTAAATCCCTGTTCCTTTTCTCTGATTTTGGCTGATTATTTATATATATATATATATATATGTATATATATGTATATATATATTGTTTTGGAATGTCAATGGGTTCCAATATGGCTGGCTAGTTTCAAGATGAACTTGCTCCAGAGGCCTAGAAAACAAAGTCATACAGTACAGTCTTAGACAAATGCCACAGGTCAAGGAGAAACTGAGTCAAAAGGGTCACTGGAAACCATAAAGAAAGTACAGAAAGGTTTTCCTGACAGTCTCTTTGGAGACCAAATGTTCTAAATGTTTCCACACCTCTGGTATTAGTATCTATCTAAAGTACAAATGCATTTAGGGCACTCCATTTTTTAGAACTAACTGTCACACCTAGAAAATAACCATTTCAAGAAAACTGAGGCAAAACAGTAAAGTTTATTTGTTGGGATTTTTTTCGTTTGTTTGTTTTGAAGAAAAATTAATCTGATTTTGAAACATCCAATTTTGGGACTACAGGTGCTATAGTTGCAGAACAGAGCTATTAATGATCCTAATCCAGATGTATCTCAAACCTTTATCAATGCTTTGGTGCAAGGTATCAAAGACTTCCCAGAAATAATAACTGCCATTACCTATGCTGTGCACAGCCCTTGTCAGGAAGAGGGGACCTAATATTTATCTTATTCACCTGGGTTTAACATCCCAAAATGGAGGACCTCTTGAGAAAACAAGGTCCCATCTGTTCCAAACAAGACTACCAAATGAGCACCAGAAATGGGAGTAATTCAGCACATGACACTCAAGAGTTCAGCATCTTCTCCAGCAGTTCTAGGAGTTCTGATCACTGCCAGGCTCAATTGCCTAGAGTCATGTTTATACAAGAACAAAAAAGATGCTCGACTTGCCAGTACTTCCATTGCCTTTTTACGAGGGGAATGGATATAAGCTTTCATAATGAAGCTTTAGGTAGTCAAGTACAGATCAGTGTACTGGTCTGTGCAAGCAGCGAGGAAAGCATAAGCAGAAAATCATTTAATCTCTAATTCAAACTACTGATTCATATTAACATAAAACTTTTGAAGGATAATTTTTGTAAATGTGACTAGAGGGTCTGCAAACCCAATTTTCAATCATTTTAATGGCAGCTTCATTGTTAGACCACTTTGAAAATCCTAATATAAGTGTTTGAACAGCTAGAATTACTCCCTGAAGGAAACAGTAAACGAGCATAGAATTTGTTTTTAAAATGTACAGACACAGAAGCATTTAGGCATAAGCAAATCTAGAAACTGGTATGCTACAATGAAATAGCAAAACACGCAAAGCTACACATCTATCAATTCTACAGCGGGAACTCATTCCAGCTAGGTCAAAAAGTGCTCATGCAACATGGCTACAGGTATATAACTAAAAAAATTCTAGTCATTAGCATACACTTATTTGGATCCCATCAGATTAACAGACTGTCCGCTTGGTGAAGAACTGAGTTAGGCCCCTCTGAGAAATTAATGATTGAAGATGACTGTATTTCATGAAGTCATACTGCACGATGACAAGTCATACCTTGCCCAGCCTGGCTTTCCATCATATGCTCTCAGTTCTTCACCTTCCAAACTGATCCACCTATCTGTTACTTGTATCATGTAAGGCTGTTCTTTATTCCAGGCTACTCAGACATGCAATGCCTTCCTAATAGGCACATCATAAGTAAGACAGGCTGCGGAAGCATAGATGATGCATTGTTCACTGTCTGCATATTTGACAGTGTGAGATGGAAAGAGCACACAAAGAGACAAGCAACATAAGTAGTTGGCAATAAAAACAAACAACTGGGAGAAATGTCATTTGAGCAGGTTGAAAGGAATCACTGTACACAATCCCTTGGCACTGTATAAAATAATTTGGTGACAGCTTTAAATGCCTGGTCCTACTTCGCAACAATGGATGTGCTCAGTAGTATTCCTCAGGCTTTTACAGTGTTTGTAAGATAAACAAAAATAGCTTATTTCAAGAATGGAACGTAGATTGAACTCAGAATAGTCTAACAAATTCCAGAGTCATCTTATTTTTAAAGTTCTCAGGAGTTAAGACTATCTGTATACCTCACAGCATTCACTATTAAGCCTGATGAAACGATACTGCATTTGTTTCATATGACACAGTTCCTTTCATCTTACTTTTACAGGAGATGGTCTCAGCTGTGACAAAAACTCTGCCATCCAGGTGATAGGCAAGCTCACAAACAGAAAAAGCAGAACGTCTTGAGTGATACAGAGAACAAAAACTTCTCCTGAAGAAGTGCAGTCAGTAAAGACAAAGAGGGAGAGGAAGTAAAAGTGAAACTCTTGGAGGATGGCCACCTCCTCATCTGCACCTACCATTGGTTTTAGCTCTCTGCCCTCAGCTCCACCTCCCCGGCCAGCTTCTCTCATAGATTTCCTACTATTCTCCACAAATTCCTGAAAAACAGCAGTAACATGAAAAGTGCTTTCTCAGAGCAGACTTCAAATATCTAATCTAAATATAAAACTTCAAAGATATAACTGTGCAAAAAGTCAATGCAACTTCCTTCTTCCAATTTTGGGTAAGATTGTTCATAAAATATCACAAGAGCCACCACACGGTTCTCCGCATCAAATTCTGAAGAATTGGAAGCCAAACAACCATGTGTCATGGGGTGCCATAACAACTTTAGTAATGCCCACAAAGTTCTCCTTTTTTGGAGAAGGAAGGTAGGAGGGCAATTGTCACAAAGCTAAATTGCAGTTACTAAACCCTGTTCTAAGAATTAAGTGTAATGGCAGAGCACCATTAAACAGAGGGACTTGGAGATAATTACTTGCAAAGTCTTGTTTATTTTTCTGACTCCCTGAATGCACATTCTTCAAATTTTCGTCAATCAAAACTACCTACTCAAAGACTAACTGAGGTGCTTTTCATGTATTTTCTCCTCTTAAAGGCAAGCACTCTGTATAAAATTTCAATAAACTTTAACTACTAGCACTCTGTGATACTTACTGTTGACTAAAGAAAATTGCAATGTTTTTGTGATTGATATTCGCTGTCTTCTTAGACAGCATGCTGCATTTTACTACTACTCTGTACTAAAATGCAAGTCATCAGATAGCACTCTCTCTTACTACATACCCTAAATTCTGTACTGTTTTACCAATAATTAATGTTAAATTCTTGGCACAACTTTCCAACAAGTTAGTCAAAAAAAAAATTACACTAAGAAGTCACAAGTGTCTTCCTCTAGCCTACACGTGGCTCCAGCACAGAACATAAAACCTTATTTATGCATTTATGCATGACATATTTCAGGTTGCTGTCCATTTGAAAAGAAAAACTTCAATGTGGTCACCAACTGTATGTGAGGTAGAACATTCTAATGTTTATTTTCTTCCACATCACAAGGGAGGTCCCTTTTAGGAAAGAACAACTAGCAAATCTTTCCATACTGTTTTGCTGCCTTCTCTTCTGCACTGCATCATTTACAAGAAATGATACCCAAAGGTATGATTCTGTAAGAGGACTGCTCATCCAGCTGACAGCAAGTTCAAGTCAGCATTGATAATGCCAAATCAGGGAGGCCTTACTACTTATCTAATGCTCATCACACCATTCCTGGCTGATCAAGTCATGAATAAGACAGTGAGGTAATCTAAACTGAAAAAAACTCAAAATTTATACTCAGCTAATGCATTCACTGCACTCTCAAGATATCCATCTTATAGAACTATATGCTTTGACTCAGAGAGCTATGTGAACTTACCATGAGAACTTTATCCATGTAGAATTCCCTCCCAGGGCTTCCATCATTGTATTTTGTATCGATGGCAAAACATAAGAAAAGGACATCAACAACCATTTCATAAATGGAAAGGAAGCAATGAGCAACCAGGAACGCAAAGAGGCAGACAATTATGAGAGGCAGCACCCAGGTAGTGTAATCTCGTTGATAATTCAGCAACATAATCCCGGCCAAACCTGTACTGCAGACAATCAGGACCTGAAGTGGAAAACATAAATAATCAAAAGGTTTGTATCATTAGTATTGTCATAGTTCAAGTTACACTTTCCTTGCTTTGCCAATCCTATAACTATAACATCCTTGACTCCCCACCTCTCTGAATGGAAATGTTTTATTTGTTAGTCCAGCAAATGAAAATCAAAATAGTTTCAAACACATCCTTCAATACAAAAGGTATTTTTCAGGTCCAATTATATTTATATCCAACTGGTAATAGTTCTAGTATTGCAGAATATTCCTACAACAAAAGAACATTACTCTTCCAATTATTAAAAAAAGACAGAACCAAACAACTTAGGTGCAACTATGTTTGGTTTTGGTTTGTTTGTCTTAGGGGGTGAAGCTTGGGGCAATGTTATGGTTTTTATTTGCTGTGGGAATTAACTTAGCCAAAACATCTTCCAAGTTTGTCTTTACCGTCTTGTCTCCATACAGAGAAAGGAGATCAGAATTAGAAATGATCAGATTTGACTATAGGTCAGATTACAATGGTTCTATATACAAGGCACATCATACATTCCCATAAAACTATGGATGTACTTCCTTAGGTATCAGCTTCATCTTTCAGAGTAACAACTGTTGTGCATACTCAACATTTTCAACATTTATGAACCTTCTATTATGAACTACAGCTGAACTTCAAACTGAAGAATAGGTCAGCTTAACTGTACCACGAAAACACAGGGCTGGATTGTAGAGGAGATGGACTGGCAACCTAACACTGTTCAGTTGATACTATTCTTAATAAACTGCACTGTTTATTTCAACATTTCTGTTACTGGTGTATTTCTCTAATAATTTTAAAAGAGATTCTTTACAGGAGATGTTCTCTAACACATTTCAGACTCCTCCATAAAACTGCATTACGTATTTTATGATCCCTAGAGCATTTTATACTTTCATTATGTATTTACTTCTCCACACATTAGTTACTGGATTAAAGCTCAGTGCGCTGAAGTCTGATTTAACAGAAGAAGAATGTAATAAGGAAAACAGTTCAACTAGTGGGCAAATGTCAGGTGATTTAAGTGGACAAGTATCAAATTCTAGTAAATAATGGCAATTATTTGCTATAATACTATTAGTAAATAAATCCTCAGAAAGCTAGTAATTTACTGGATTACAGATCTCTATCACAAAATCATTAAGATTGGAAAATATGTCCCACATCAAGTCCAACCATCAACCCATCACCATCACACACACTAAATCATGTTCATTAGTGCCACACCTACATGGTTCTTGAATACCTCAAGAGAAGGTGATTCCAACACTTCCCTATGCAGCGTGTTCCAATACCTCACCATTCTTTCTGAGAAGTTTTTCATAATAGTCAACCTGAATCTCCCATGGCAACACTTAAGGCCATTCCTTCTCATCAGGACTCTGTTACCTGGGAGAAGAGGCTGACCCCTGCCTCTCTACAATCTCCTTTCAAATCACTGTACAGAGCATTAATGTCTCCCAAGAGCCTCCTCTTCTCCAATCTGAACAATCCCAGTTCCCTCCCCTCAGCTAATCCTCCTAAGACATGTCCTTCAGACACTTCATTGCCCTTCTCTGGACACGCTTCAGAGCCTCAATGTCCCTCTTGTACAGAAGGACCCAAAACTAAACACACTGCTCAGACCATTTCTCAAGTAGCACCAAGTATAGGGGAGTTCTTAGAGAAACAAAAAGCTGACTGACCACAGGAATTATTCTAGTCTACTTCATTTCTCAGAGTATAAGTAACTTTGTTGCTTAAACTAACAGTTCTTAGTTGCAGACTCCCATACTGCCTGCCAGTGCAATTTTGTCAAAAATGGCGATCAACAAAGTGCCAACTTTCAACAAAAACTCGGAGAGCAGAATTCAGAGAAAATGCCTCATTTCCTTAAGATTTTACATTTCTAACCACATAAACAAACACATCCTCAGAATTTCTGGCCACACTTCGCTTGACTCCCTAAAAATGTATTCATGCAAAAACTCATCATTCAGCCATTTCTACTTGACCTAAGCATATCATCTGCTTACCTACTCTAATTTTGGACAGCTCCTTCTGTACATGGTGTAGGTGCAATAAAGTGAGAAAAGGAATTTTAAAACACTTTGTATCTGATGTACACGTCATTGCTAAGGAAAGCTTGCCAAGACATACCTTTCCAAGGAACAACATAAAATCCCCAACAGTGTTTATGGCAGCCACTCGCAAAGCATTCTCCACTAGAATAACAAAGGCATCCTTTGCTGAGGTGCAGAAGTTGGTGCTGTTGATAGCTGTGGCTGTATATGCATTCTGGGAAGAAGAAAGTGAAGATTTACTTAATGAAAAGTCTTTCAAAAGGGGAATAGGAGAAGGAGTAAAAAATTGGGAAAATGGGGAAAATTGAATGTTTTTCAATTGTGTAAACATGAAATATTAAACCTAGAAAAGGTTCAGTCCCTTGTCACAGCAAACATCTTTAAAATCAGATGCAGCCTTGCAGAGGACCTAGAGAAGATCACCTCCAACCCCTAAATAAATCCATCTCATCTAAAGTAGAGATATACAAACTTTGCAAAGATCAGTACTGGCTTTCACCTTTGCAATGTAAACAAAGACTAATGTAATCCTTGTATTTTAATTTCAGTAACGAAGACAAGATTTAAGTACCATCGTCCAGTCCAGTTTCAAAGTATAACACATTATTGTCATAATATGATCATTCTATGAATCACATAAATCATAATTTCTTTACATAAAACTTGAATACTGAAAATCCTACCTGATTTAAATAGGTCAGGCACTTTTCTAGACACCAAAGGCAGCAGATGCAGGCTTTAAGCATACAGCGAGCACAAGCATTTTCCTAGGAAAGCACAAAATTTAGGGAATCAAAGAAAAAAGACAGTAAAAAGAACAGATCTTAAGAAAACGATATTACTTCATGTTTCAAGTAGCTGATACTTAACTTGTTAACTCAAACAGTTACTCTCAGTCTTATGGTTCTTCAAAGACCAAATATTTCAAAATGACACTTTCAGCCTCCCCAGTAAGTTTAACTAAATCATCTGCAAGCACATCTGGCTTTGAGTTTCAGAAAGGATATGGAATCTATTTCTCTTACTTTTCCTTTGAGTTGTGTATGAATATACATAAGAATCATTCGTGGTATCTTCACCAATGTGATAATGAAAGACCCCTTTGCAACTGTTCCTAGATGGTAACATACAAGGCGGTTAACAGATGCCAGGATAGGAGTAAATGGCAGATTCCTTTTCTCCCTGTTGAAAAGAGAAAAAGAATGACATAGAATAATCAACATGCATTTAATGTCATCCTACAGAATTGCTACAAATTCCCAACAGTCTGACTGCAAAAGGAATTTCTTATCCTCCTTCTAGTTGTGACTGCATATTGTTCACTCCACATAAAACACTGATAGTTTGTGCAAATCACAATTTTGGCTCAATTTTGGTCTAATTTACCTCTTATATCTTTAAGTAACCATGTTTTGAAAGAATAAGAGTTCCCATCTTGAGAGAAAACTATTTTCATGCAAGTTTCATTCCAAAAGGTCAAGAAATAGTCTTCATCACATGAAAGTAACTTCTGTGTAACTTCACCATGAAATGTTAATGACTAAACAGGTTTTCCCTATATTTTCTTCCAAATAACTTTAGAGCTCAGGTGAGGGAAGTCAAATTCCCCCTTGGACACAATCACATAAAAGTTAAGGCCTGAGTCTTCACCTAGGCAACCAGATCACTATCTCCTTGTCAAGTAAACATAACTGAGTGATGACTCTATCACATATGATGTTGAGATCAGCTGTTGCCCAAGTTGAAGAACTCCTTCCTGCTAAGGTGAATGAATAGCGAACATATCTCAAACATTCTTCCATACATATTTGCTGTGGAAATATCTTCATGCCCTTTACTTAATACCAAGTCACTTTTCAGTTTAGAATTATATTTCAAAATTCAAAAAAGACTAACAGTACGGAACAATTGATAATTACTATCTTAAATTAAAATTCCTATTAAGGAATGACAGTTTCATTCAAAAAGTAAAATCATACACTTTCAAGTGATGGCAAATACATAAATCAATAAAGCAAATGAAACACAAGCATTGTTAACTTGCAGCAATGTAAAACTTTCTTCTTTACTCTGTACATCCACAGTTCTTTACTTTTTACAACCCTGCAGCATCTGATAACAACTTCTCAGATGTATTTCACTGGTATACTGGAGGACATCATCATTAATAAAAATAGTCTCTGTCACCACAGTAAATTAATTTACTTGCCTTGCCTTTGATATATTTTAAAGAGACTAGGGCAGATAAGAAATCAAAGGTAGTTCAGGTAACAGTCACAACTAGAAAAAGACAAACTAAACATTTGTGATTATGCACTTCAAAAAATATCTGTATGATTATTTAAAAACCTATTAAAATAAAAATCAGACTTTTCATAGCATATCACAAGAATACAGTAGAGTTGATGGATATCCCTACAAGTTTTTCTTAATCATATCCTTCACATGAAAAGCTTGCTTAATTAAATCAACACTGATAAATACTGTGTCAACACCTTTTATACATGCTGCTCTTTAACCAGAGATCCTGCATTTATATTGTTTGGAAATGGCTGAGAAAATCTGAAGATTCATTCCTGAATAATGATGTGCATTTTTGTCTATTTTACTTTTACAAAAGTGATAAATAGATAATTAGAATTGTTGATTCTTTTCCTTAACAAAAATATTGCAACAGTTCTGCTCCACATATCAAAACAGTATTTCAGATCATTGAAATACCATTTTTTTCTCGTGAAATAGCAGTAACACAGCCGATATCAGGTGGGGTTTTTTTTGTTTGTTTTCTGATGTTGTTTGTTTGGTTTCTGTTTTGTTTTTTGTTTTTCTAGGGGAAAAAAAGTGGATCCTAAATGGCTTAAACAAGATAATCTTCACTTATTTTGTGTACATTTTGAGCACCCTTAACTTCAGAAAAGTCTTCAAACACTAGAGACAGAACTCTGAAGTTTGGATGAAGTTATCTGGACAAACCTGTGATTATGAAATGAGTCTTATCTCTGTGAAACCAAATTCTAATGCCTGAAGATTGTTAAAAAACACTGCTTAAGCATTACTATTCCTTTCTTAAACAGCCAGCAGATGCGTGCAGAATAGCCAGGGTAATGTTCTGATACCCAACTGGGGACATGCAATGAAATATGGAGTTTTAACGCATAGTATCTCTTCAATATTTGTACATAATTTTGTGAGAATCTGTATGTAAATAACAAATCTATTAATATCCTGAGCAATCTGGAGTAGGAAAGACTAACGAAAACTAATTTAAAGGCCACTGTTTTGCAATTAAAATAATAACAACAAAATGCTGCCAGTAGATTTTCAATCTCTATTGAGCTTATCATCACTAGCTATTAGTACAAAAGATAGTCTTCTAGGCGCATTCTTCTCTAGTAGACAATCACCCATGTTTTCACAATGTGCACGTGTTGCAAGGTAAATAAGGCTTCAAATCCTAAACACCCAGAATATCATCCAGCAAATAACCAGCAAAACATGTTATTATAAAACTTCACATGATATCAAACAGGTTAATATAATTCAACTACTCTCCAGCTTTCAGACAGGAAGGAAGTATTCTCCCCAAAAGATCTATCCCTCATTATTTCTCTTAATTGCGTTTCTAGGCTGCTCAAAATAAAGCTAAGTTTATCCTTACCTTGTGAAATAGTACGTCACAACAGCTCCTGCTACTGTCATCTGCTGACAGGCTAGGATAAACTCACTGATCCAGATGAGTCCTACTACGTGGTACCACCACATGTACTTCAGGGGGCCTGTCATCCGAAACTCAACAAATCCTTCTTCATTTGGGACAGGATTGCCTAGAAATTAACAAGGACAAGAAAGAATCAGTAATTAGCTGTTCATAACCATTCAGAAAGGAACCACTCTAGGTTCCACTCATGCTACTAGATGTCAGATTTAGGAAAATAGTTCATAAGAAAGACATACCTTTTGAGACAATCTGTATAACAGCATTTGAAAAAAAAATACACTAACATTGATAATATGCATAATATTCGAAATGCTGCAATATTTTTAATTTTTAGCCATACAGTGAAAAGTTCCAAGATTAACCATACCTACCAAGTACCAAGAACTCATAAAATTAAATATAATAAAAATAATTTTATTATATTTTCATTCTTGATTTGTCTGTTTTGTTCTTGATATAATTTACAGTGATCATTACAGAAATAGCTCTATGATCTGAAACACCAATACATTTAGATTAGCAGTAATTTTCAAAATTCTAAGGCTTTGGTGATGAATTATGGCCACAGTTCACTGCAAACTAAAACAAGCATCTTCCATTTTAAAAGCATTTGCTAGGCTTCTCTATTGAAGTAACTAAGACATGAACCTCTAAGACTGACTAATTCTAGGAGCTCCTAACAAAACCTTAACACAAACAAAGATCTTGTCTATGCTCTTACAGTAGACAGACATTCAGAGTACAGTAGCTTCTCTCAGAATAACATGTACAAACAGAAGAAAAATCAAAGAATATTTCACTAATAATCTGGAAAATACTGAACATTTCCAGTGCACTTATGTTTTGGGGACAGCAAATGCATGCAATGGCCCTTACATTACCATCTCTTCAAACATGTAAAAACTGGCTTAAATATAGTATGTTTTTCAAAATAAGCCTGGGAGCTGTTTACCTGTAGTACCAAGGAAAAGTAGGACTGTGGTCCAATATGTCCAGAAGAGGATAAGAACAAAGAATGTCCAAAATGGCTGGAAGACTAGCAGTGGCAGGTGAATAAAGACCTTGCCGGCCACATGGAACAAGGCAATAGTGAGAGCTACTCGTTTGCGCATAATTAACATTATCAACAGCAAGATAACCTAGAAGAAGAAGTTTTACAAATCACATTTTAGAGAATTGAAAAATAAGTAAGCAAATACTTTGCACAATTGGGATATTTAAACAAAGAAAATTAACATATGTTCTATTTTGAGAGCACAAGATCAAAATGTAAAGTCTGGATCAGCTTCTTTTGGTGAGAAGTTATTTTCCAAATCACACATTTAGGGAATTCTAATCACAAATTATTTATTTGGAATCATCATCAGCTACAGGCTTACAAGAGTATGCCAGATTTCACCCTCAGTTACGCTGTCATAGCAATGAATTTAGCAAGATTGGAAGATTCAACAAAGAAAACAATTTTAACATTCATTTTTGGACATTGTATGGTGGACTTGTCATGTAAGTTAGTCAAACAGTGACAATTTTTAGTTGCAAGGCCAGTGACTCTGAGTGAATAACAAGCCTGAGAGAACATACAGTGGTTCAGTAGTGTTAGTATTTCAGTTCACAGAATCACAAAATGGCTTGGGTTGGAAGGGACCTTAAAGATCATCTAGTTCCAATCCCTCTTCCATAGGCAGTGTTACAAACTACTAAATCAAGCACTAGATAATGTTGATCAGGACCCCATCCAACCTGGTGGCTTTGAGCACCTCAAGGGATGGAACATCCACAACTTCTCTGGGCAGCCTGTGCCAGCACTTTCATAAAGATCCTTGTGTAAGTGGAAGAAATTTGGGAACAAGTGATTTCAGAAATACGAGTAGACTTTTAAATAAACTGAAATTGCAAAGTACCTCTGAACTGGGAGCCTAACAAAAATCTCATAAGTGAAACAGGATTGGGAGCTTCATACGCAGCTATTCATGGGAGGTCTCTGTGGACATCTTAGAGTACAACAGAGCAGATGCAGATTTAAGATCTCCCTCCTGACACAAGAACATATTACAGAAGGAATAAAAGACATTGCGAGCAGTAGAGATAAACTCTTAAAACTTGTGAGATATAAACCTTCCACCTGAATAAACAAACAGAAAGAGACAAGAAAATCATATGTAACTAGAAAAACATACCGTGAAGACAGTAGCTGAAATGGCATAGATCAGGAGAGCCTGAAGATTTTCTTTGGCTATTTGAGTCTCAACAGTACTGGCAGACATTCGTTCTTTAGCATAGAGCCACCACAGGACTCCTGTACCACCTGTGTTTTAGAAGGGAAAAACAAAAGTCATATTAAAGATGCTCTTTCTATGTGACAGAGTCACATCTAGTACCAAAGAAACTAAGAAGTCTCTTTTTTTAAGTCTGGTCTGATACAGAAGATTCAATGAAACAAATGGATAACTCAATACGAACCTGTAGAATCACAGAATCCTATGAATTGGAAGAGATCCTTTAAGATAATCTACAGCTAGATCACGTTGCTCAGAGCCCCATCCAGCCTGATCTTGAATGTCTCCAGGGACGACGGAGCATCCACCACCTCTCTGGGCAACTTACGCCAGTGTCTTATCAGCCTTATCATAAATAACTTATTTATATCCAGTCTAAATCTCCCCTTTTCATTTGAAACCAGTTCTCCTTGTCCTGTCACCACACATCCTGATGAAGAGCCTGTCCCCTTCTTTCTTATAGTCTACCATTAGATACTGAAAGGGTGCTACCTGGTCTCCTCAGAGCCTTCTCTTCTTTGTGCTAAACAGCTTCAGCCTGTCCTTGTAGAGGAGGAGATCCATCCCTTGGATCATTTCTTATGGCTCTCCTCTGGACATATTCCAATAGGCCCATGTCTCACCTGTACTAAGGACTGCACATCTGGATCCAGTACTCCAGGTGAGGTCTCATCAGAGCAGAGGATTACCTCCCTTGCCTTGGTGACTACACTTCTTCTGGTACAGCCCAGGATACAGCTAGCTTTCTAGGCTGCAAGGGCACACTGCTGGCTCATGTCCAGCTGCCATCCACCATTACCCCCAAGTCCTTTTCAGCAGGACTGTGCATTGTCTTTACATCCTCCAGCTCGTAGTGACAGTGAAGGATTATCGTGATCCAGGTGCAAGACCTTTCACTTCAAAAGACGGAGAAGTGCTCAACTGTTGTCTGTTTCTGTCTTCTCAATTTGATACACTCTTTCCAGAATCTCACCCCACTATGCCCGCTAAAAAGATTTGCAGCTCTTCATGTTTTAGGTGAAAGTGTGTGATGCAACTAGTTCATAGGAAACTCTAGTAGTTAGATAACAACAATCACTAGACAGACAACAGAGGAAGTAAAACTGAAGAAAGGAAAGAAAGAGCAATAGAAGAAAGGGTGAAATTATATGGCAGGATGTATGCAAAAATTCAGAAGGGGAAACCAAGAGGGAACTTCAGGTAAGGATGCAAAATATCAAAGGGAAAAAGAGGAGTCTATAATCTCTGGAAAGATCTATAGAGAAATAAAGGAACAGTCTTGACCCTGAAAACAGCACCTCAGGTTAATGACAGAGCTACACGTGCATCAAGACACTGTTTTTCAGGCATTGCAAAATCATCACTGAAAGGTATCATGGTTTAAACAGAAAAAAAGGCCAGGAGGCCAATACAATATGATACTTTCTTCTAATCACTGTAATGAAAACCTAGCCTTTAAACCAGTACTTCAACTGCATACTTTACCTGTCTTCCAAGTTAGAAATTTTTTTAAACACAGGATTCCAGCTTCTTAATGAACTAAGCTTTACTGCTGTTATTTTTTTTTTTTCTCCTCGTAGTATTCTTTTCTGTTATTCCTTGTAAATCATCTGCATAAGCTTATCTAGAGATCACACTGACTTTGCTGAAGGTATTCTACTGAGCTCTAAACTGGAGAATGCTCTTTTGGCATCTCATAAGCATACATCAAATAAAGAATAAGCAATATATTTCACAGAAAACATGTCCTTTTTCAGTCTCTGTAATGGATGCAATTTTTTAGAACATTGTAACAGTAAGTTACAATAAGATAAGTTATTTAGTTCTTTCATTCAGTTTGGTTATCCAAGAATCATAGAACATTCTGAGATGGAAGGGACTCATAAGGATCTTCCAAGGAAGCTGTAATTGGTAGATGTAAACACAAATGCTCACACAGCAAAAAAACATGCTGCTGCAACTTCTTCAATAAAAGGTAATGCCCTGGGAACCATCTGAGTTTTCCCACAGTCCACTTCTGAAGAAGCTGTCTGCGTTCTGGCCACATCTGCATCCCATTGCACTGCTCATTGCTTATTACACGTGACCTCCTTACTGCCTTTCTAGAACCACAGAACATTCTGAGCTGGAAGGGGCACTCAAGGATTGAATTAAACCCCCTGCTCCACAAAGCACCACCCAAAACTCAAACCCTATGTCTCAGAGCACTGTCCAAACACCCTTTGAACTCTGATACAGGGGCCGTGCCCACTGCCCTGTGCATCCCATTCCATGCCCACAGCCCCCTGGTGCCGGACCCTTTCCCTGACCCCCAGCTCCCTCCGCTGACGCAGCTCCATGCCGTTCCCTCAGGCCCTGTGGCTGTCACACAGAGCAGAGCTCAGCGCTGCCCTCCGCTCCCTGTGAGGAGCTGCGGCTGCCAAGAGGGTTCCCCTCAGGCTCCTCAGCTCTGTGCTGAGCACAACTTGCCCTCCATACATAGCCCTTCCTCACAGCCCTCCTTAGGACGCCCTCTAATAGCTTTATGTCCCTTTTGTACTGCAGCACCTGCACGCAGTGCTGTAGGCGAGGCCGCACAGTGCAGAGCAGAGGGGGCAGCTGTAGCACTGTGCCTGCTGCACCCCAGGGTATGGTTGGCCCTTTGGACTCCAGGGCACACTGCTGCCTCATGTTTGGCTTGCTGTGAGACAGAACCCTGTGATCCCTCTCCACTGGGGCTGCTCTATGCCTCTTGTACATATAACCAGGGCTGCCCCACCTTGTGCAGAATCCAGCACTTGCTCTTCTTGAACTTCATGCAGCTGCTGACTGGCCAGCCCTCCAACCTGTCAAGATCTCTCTGCAAAGCCTCCCTATCTTTGAGGAATTCCACAGCTCCTCTCAATTTGGTGTCATCTGTATACTTACTTAGTATGCATCCGAATCCTGAATCCAGGACATTTAAAAAAACATTACAGGAACCCTACCTACCCTACCTTCCATTTATTGCAACATTTTCGGTGCAACCTGTCAGCTAGTTGTTCATTTACTGTATTATCTTTTTGTCAAGCTGGATATTTTGTCTAGAAGACCTCTGCGAGAAACAGTATTGAAAGTTTTGCTGAAATCCCAAAAGCTTATACAACTGGCTTCAATGATCACATCCTGCTGGGCAAACCACTGCCAGTTTTAATTACTACATAGGTATTCTTACATTCTCCTAAAGACAGTTTTTAAACTCTATGTTTACTAATTTCTTTTGTTTTGCTGTCTTCAAAAATAGAATTTCTTATTAATTTTTATTTTAAAGTAAAGAAAATATATAACAAAGCTTCCAAAGAAAATATATGTATTTTTTCTCTTTTCTGTAGTCACAGACCCTGTGATCAGTAAGCAGAAAAACAAAAGTGATAGTCTGCTTTTTTTTTTTTTTTCCTTTTCCAATCACTTGCTAACACAAATTGAAAATCACTTTGCTAGTACTTTCTAATTCAGTGGCTTTATTCTTGTTCCTTCCCTATATTCATCTGTCCATACATCACACATCTGTTACTATTACAAATATAGAATATAACCTTCATAGAAGATAATGCAGACTAAGAATCATTTTGTATAGGACAATCTTTGGTTGTACTCAAGATGTCCTGGCTAGTTCTATTTCATACATTACCTAGGTCATGCAGGACTTCCTAGGTCAATGGAAATAGGATTTAATTAGAAATTACAGAAAACCATCCTTGTTTCCTCTCTTCAAGGACATATCTTAGACAGGCCTACAATAGCCCCTAGGAAGACTGAAGGAGCTCATGAATGTGTCACAGTTATATGGACAAATCTATGTCCTGAGATACCCTGAGGCCACATAAACAACAGCTGCCCTTTGATTCCCAAATGCCTGAGTACACCCAGAGGGTTGGTATGCAATCAACATATCCAGATCAGCTTGCTGATATGACTGCAAAGTTAAGGAAAAGGCAGAGGTTAGGGCTGCATGACCTAGGCTGAAAGAAGCTTGCTTGCCAAGCAAGAAGTACAGAAAATCCCTATGGAGCAACATGCTATCTGAGAGAGTACTGCAATTACAAGGGGCTCAAATTAAAGCTGAACAAAAAGGAATAGTCCCAAAATAAAAGCAGCATTTTGCTAGCCTGTAGATGTAGAAAACAAATATGAGAACAGGGCACCCAAAAAGTTAGACATGAATTCAACTTACCAAGTGATCCTAGAATGACAAGAATTGTTAAAATCCAGACAAGTACTCTTGAAATGTACCTGATTATAACCATCAAAATCATGGACAACACTGAAAAAAAAAAAAAAAAAAAGAAAAAAAGAAAAATGAGATAAGCAGAGAAATTATTTTAAGTAGGAATAGCCTTTCTAATTCTTCCACTGCACTAAGATCAGACTGCCTTCAAAATAATTTTTAGGCAGATTTATTTTCTGCATCTTACAGACTCACTGCACAGATAGTTAAGGAAATCAGGCACCTCTACATCTCCTGCTTTGGTGCTGCTGATTAAAACAAAAGAGAGCATAAGTACATGTACATGGTACACTACATACAAAACATAATGCGTACGTATAGACAGATGTATTTAGACAATGACATAACAGACAGCAAGACATGTTAGTACTCTTGAGTCTAGTAACATGAGCACACCTCCTCAAGAACACAACTTTGTGTTATTTTCAACATTCAGAATGAGTTATTTAACAAGCTCTGTTCATACAGTTCCACTGTCATTTAGGAACTACATATTAAAAAGACATCTTCAGTGTCAGCCATTTAGGGAGTAGTGTACATTTCCACATACCTATTTGTATACAGTAGTAAGCTACTAAAAACAGGCTTAGATAATCACACTATCTAACCAATTATTTAAAAGTAAATTAACTATGAAAATATAAAAAAGTGGAAATTATCACATAGTTTTCTCCCTCAAGTTAAAACTAACTGTACGTAAAACACTGTACTAACTTCTAACTCTTAACCCAAAAGTAGCACTAACAATTCAGCTACTGATTTTCAGAATATTCTGGGCAGTTATTTTACCATTACAAGGCAAAACAATAATCAGCTCTCCACTGAGAGCTGAGAAGATACGCAACGGTTTCCTGTTTCTGTCAAGTGGTAACTAGCCTCTTCTTTTTATTTATTCATTTGTTGTAACTACAAAGGCAGATTAAAATAGAAAGACTTGTTTTTCAGTTACAGCTTTGCAGTCTTTTATTTTAACCTCACACTGCTCATACACACGACTAGTTCTGGTGCTTTTCATCTCACATTTACTATACCTGGTATACTCAGTGTAAGGACTTAGTAGGAGTATACCCATTAGGAAAGTAATTTATGTGAGTAACTAGCATTCCACTTTAATTTACAATATTTTGTTACCACAGCTCTTCACTTTTGTGCAATGTGTCACTTTACAGGCCAGAAAAGGCCTGTATTTTAACTGAAAAACCATTCAGTACCTCTATACAGCTGGGAATTTATAGCTTTTAGGCTGAGTTTTTCAAAGGCCTGAAGTTGGATCTCCTTTTTTTTTTTTTTGGGGGGGGGGGGGG